CTTTCCCTTCATTCTTTCCTTTATTTCTTAAAAGTTTGTTTATTTATTCCATGAAAGGGAGAAAAGGAGACAGAGGGATACCGGAGCCCCCAGTAGGGTCCTCAGGCTGCAATCCACATCTACCCCCAGCCTCAGGCAGACTGGAGTTAGGCATGCACATGGGCCCATCCTTCACAGGGAGACCTGTGGATTTGAACCCTAGACCTTCCCATGTGGGTCTAGCACCAGAGAGGGTTGGGTTGCCACTTTACCACTGCTACTGGCCCAAGTTCTTTTTTCCTTTCTGGCCTAGCTCTAACTCTTTCTATAACCGTCTCATGGTCCTCAAGGTGTTTAAAGACCTTACGTTATGGTACTCGCCCCTTCTCTTGCAGATAGAGCATTATTTGTGGTATTAATTTTAGCACTTTCTGTTTGACATAGGATGACATTTGTCAGTTTAAAAGCCTTTACAGATAAGACTTTCCACGCATTCACTGCCTGTTGCACAGCTGGCTTTCAGTTAGTGATTACTAATTTCCTTTATGTGTATAGATAATAGAACTTTAGAGGGAGAAAGGACCTGTCTCCTTATTTAGCAAATGAGCAAGTAGCAGACCGAATTCTCCCGACTCTATGTTGGTGACTGTGTGCTATCTAAAGCAGTATTATGAAAAATACTGTCTTTTGTGAATCAAAATCTTGAACAGGGTCTTGTTTCCTGATAGACTTTGGTAGAAGGCTTGCCTCTATTCGAATTGCACTTTCATGACTTAAAGTGAATGATTTTTCAGTAACAGCTTTGGTTGTGATTAAGTATAGTGTAAAACAAGTAGGTCCTTACACTTGTTTTCTATAGCAAGCTCATGGAATAGGAAATGTTGGAGTTTAAGGAAAAAGAATCTTGAGTTTAAGGAAAAAGAATCTTGTGAAAAGCATTGTTGTGACATAGTAATTAGGGTGACACTTTTTCAGTTTTAATTTGTATAATGCCAGCCTGAAGAAAAGTTTTCTGGCCCTAGGTCCTGTGTTTTGTTGGCTTTTGCGTTTTTCTTAGTTGGCATTTTGGAATAAAATTATTTAGTTTTTCAGTGTGGCTGTATGCTTTGTATTCTTTTAAAAATAATTATTTAATTTTATTCATTCATTCATTCATTTTAGTTTGACCAGAGAAAGACACAGAGAGAGAGAGAAGGAAAATGAGAAAGCAAGCTACCAGTCTGGGATTCGAACTGTGGTTAGCCATGTGGGAGTGTCCAGTACTTTAACCACCATGCCACCTGCTGGTCCCATGTATTCTTATTAATCATGGCCTTTCTTCTTATAGATAAGTATGGGCAATGTCACATGACCCTACAGAGTAAACCTACATTTTCCCAATAATCTTTTGGAGAGCCACACCATTTTTCATTATGCAGTAGGATAGTTGAGTGGGCAGGGCAGTAGCCAGCCACGTTTGGATACTCTACCCTTGGCATTGTGTCTTTTGGAACGTGAGGTATTTGTGTTAGGGAGGGAGTCCCTTCTTTAGAGCATGGGTGCATATAAACTTTCCTTTTCAGGAAAAGGCTTTCTGGCTTTTTTTCTTTCTGATTGATTACAGTGCCTCCTGTGCCTAATTAAAAGCAGGAGTTGGGGGACAGCAGGAGGCATGGAGGTTAAGGTGCTAAACCTGGCAGCTTGAGAATTACCCCAGATGCATATGCTTGTGTGCCTAAAATCCCCAGAGGAGGAAGAAGAAGGGATTGTGGTGTAGTCATCTCCCCTAGGGGGATGGTTTCTCACTTTCATTCTCTCTGTCTCTGGCAAGTGCTTGCGCCCTATAGCAAATACTTAATAAAAAAAAGACAAGAATTAAGTTTAATAAATAGTTCAAAAATATTATGAAGCATACTTTTTATTGGCTACATCAAGAATTTATTAGTAGTTTTAACTTGTATGTGTATGTTTATTTTTATTTACTCTTTCACTGACATAGAACTTGTACATCATGGTGCACATCTTTTAATTTTACATATATTTATTTTATTTCAAAAATAGCTTTATTATTATTATTTTAATTTGCTAGAGGGCAAGTACACTCACCAGAGAGAGAGAGAAAGGGCAAATGAGAAAGCAAGCCACCAGGTCTGGGGCTCAAACTGTATTCGGCCATGTGGGAGTCCAGTGCTCCAGCCACTATGCCACCTGCTGGCCCCAAGTATATTTCTTTTATGAGAAGGAGAGTGTGGAAGGAGAGAAGAAGGGAAGGAGAGAAAGAGGGAAAGATAAACCTTAACAGATTCACTCCTCAGTTTCTCCCACTGCCTCAAGCTTTTCCAGGCAGTCAGGATCACACACAGCCAGGGTGCATAGATTGACACAGAAACCAAATCCCAGTCTTCCATATGGCTTCCATCATTGCTGAATGCTGTGCAATGACTGCACCACCATGGTTGGGCCATTAGTGCAACGTTTGAACTGTATGGTTTAGTGAATTTTTACCTATGTGTACACCCACTCAGTTGCTCTCCAGGTTCAGGAAGTCTTCTGTGCTTCTGCAGAGTCAACATTAACCTTTATTTTGAGCATGTTTCTTGAGCTATCGTTCTGTTAAATTGAATCAGTGAAAGGAAGACTTAGTAAATATAAACTAATATGAATGTCCATAATTTTCAGATGCTAAATTTAACTCTTCTGTTCTTTGAATCTCGTGGAAACTGGTTACAAGAAGAGTGGCTAAGATTTGTTGACTCAGTAACTGTCATGTTATTATATTTGGTTTCATTAATGTAATTGTGGAATTTGTTCATGTGATTTTTATGGCAATGTAATAAATAATGGCTATGAAATTTTAGGGAAGTCTTATATCATCTTGATTATAACCACTAAAAGCACAGTGGTCAGATTTGAGTTTTCTGTTTATAGTTTATACTAAAAATTCATTTTTCACAGATACTTTTTAATGTTTATTTTGTAATGTTTTAAGCATCTACAGACAAATACTTAACTTTTTGCTTGGAACTCAGAAAGCACATTTCGATACACCAACAGTTTGACAGTAAGATTTATGTTGCTCTTTATGTAGCATATATTAATATGTTCTGTCCCCCAAACCTCTCCTTTATATACCTCCAAAAGTCTAAATTTATTTCAGATAGACTCCATGCTTAGTTTTTGTTTGGTTTATAACATGAACATGTCATGAAGCATCATTAAAAAAATTGGTATGATCGGAGTTACTTGAGGTTGGTGACATTTGTCCCTAGGGGCTCTGTCAGTCCTGAGCTCGCAGCCTGATGTGGGACACACACATCACATGCCACAGCACGCAGGTTGTATGGCACTAGTAGGACGTGTCAACGGGCATCTGAGGATGGGTGAAAGTGGCTGCTAGCTTGTTCGATAATAAGTTAGCTTTGTTTGAGAAATTTGCCAGTCCACATTGGTAGTGATGTCAACCTAGCATTTTAATTAGTTTTATTCATGTCATGTTTTCAGATCGGATCTGGCTCCTCTCGTCTGGGAACAGCAGCAACTATTAAAGGTAGATGTGATCTAACATGAAAGTCATCTTGACTTTCTGTGTCATTTTTGATTCTAATAAAAATAATGTAATTTCAAATTAATGGAAAATCACATTTTAAATTACTTTATAAATAGAATTATTCAAGTTATTAAGGTTGTTCGATTTCATTTGTATCCCCCTTTCCTCATCCAGATTTCACAAACATTTGACCATTTGCATTACGTTGTATGAATTGTAAGTTTTGATCTATAAGAAACTTTTTTGTCTTCAGGGAAAATATTTTCAATGATTTTGATGAGGTTCATGGGAGCCTAGGTAGTTTGATATAAAACCTTTAAATGTGGGCACAAATGAGACACTAAGAAAAGGAAGTTTTTCCCTGCCTTTTATTCTACATATCTATTTCAGGCAAATGTATGTTACTTTTACCCTACAATTTTTTAGCTTACTAATTTTCCCAGAGAAGTAGACTTATATTGTTTTAAGTCGTTATTTTATCATTTGTATTTCTTTCCTTTTTTAGAATTATTTATTTAATTTTGTCAATATTATTATTAATATTTTAAAAATAATTATTTAACTTTATGTTTTATTATTATTTTCCAGTTTGTTCAGAGAGAGAGAGAGACAGAGAAAGAGAGAAAGGGAAAGTAAGAAAGCAAGCTACCAGGTCCAGGACTCAAACCATAGTCACCTATGTGGGAGTCCAGTGCCTCTAAACACCACACCACCTGTCGGCCCCTATTATTATTATTATTATTATTAATTTGCTATAGAACACATGCACTCATCAGACAGAGACAGAGAGAGAGAGAGAGAGAGAGTGAGAAAGCAAGCCACCAGGTCCAGAACTTGAACCATGGTCAGCTACGTGGGAGTTCAGCGCCTTTAACCACTATGCCACCTGCTGACCCTGTATTTCTTTTGTAAATCGACTTATTTTTTTTTAAAAAAGCTAATGTTATCAACTTTCCATTTTACATATTTGGTTTGTGGTTTTGTACCCCCCTCACCAAGTCGGCTTGATTGGCATGGGGCGGACTCAGTCCTTCTTGGCAGCACGTTGCTCAGCCCCTCGCGCTTCCTCTTGGCACAGATGCGCGTCCCCACCCGCTTCTTGATGAACTTAAGTGCGCCTGTCCTTGGACACCTTGAGCAGCTCCATCGTGCTGCTCGTAGGGGACGAAGCCGCACACCACCCGGATCATGTCGCATATGAACTTGGTGTGCTTGGTGAGGAGCCTGCGGTGGCGGCCGTACTGGCTTGCTCATGTTCTTGGTCACTTTGTGGCCCTTGTTGAGGCCCATAGCCATAGTGTACCACAGAGCCATGGCTGCGGCTCTCCAATGACTACTGAGGCGGAAGGGCCAGCGCCATATGGGACACTGGGGTATCTACTCTCTGGTTTGTAGTTTACAACAGTAATCATGTGTCACTGTCTTCCACTGTTGCGACCTTTAATACACAGACTGCCTTAGTTGGTAGATACCTATCATACTCCTTGGTGTCCATCCTTAGTTATGCCACATGGTGGCCTTTGCTTTTAATATGTTACTCATGTATTTCTCTTAACTTTGTAGGAGATACAGACACTGCTAAGACTTCTGACGATATCAGTTTAAGTTTGGGCCAGAGCTCTAGTCTTTGTAAGGAAGGAAGTGAAGAACAAGGTAAGAACATACTTCATAGTGACAATATGTATTGTGGTAACCAGGGTGACTTTATGGAATATACCACCCATATTTTGGCAGAAGTTTATAAAAATTTAATGCCTTATTTTAAAGAAACATTCAAATACAGTGACTTAGGACCAACCAGGTGGCCTGGTGGTTAAGGCAACTGGATCCCACACAGCCAACAGCGTGATTCAAGTCTTGGATTGTTGGCTTGAAAATCAGGTAGGCTTGTGTGGGTATGTGCCCAAAATCTCAGGAGGGAGGGAAGGATGGAGGCCCATAAATCTCGAAGGGAGAATGGAGGAGAAGGGATTGCTACATGGCCATCCCTCTGGGGGGTGATTTCGCACTTTCCCCTTCTCTCTCTGTCTGTCTCTGGTGAGTACACATGCCCTATAGCAAAATTAAAAACAAAACAAAACAAAAAACACTTTATACCAAATAAATATGTATAAATATTTAAGAGAAAAGGAAAAATTATTTACTGGGGTAATGATAATAATACAGTATTATAAGTGCTTTTAACTTACTGTTTATGTGACATTTTATCATATAAACAGGAGAGGAAAATTTTGTGAGCATATGCTCCAGAGTGAATGAGATGAAAGATGAGCATCTGCTGTTCTTTCATTTGGTCAGCACACCTTACCCAGCTTAGATGACGTAGTATATGAAATTATTATTTCCATTCAGTATGATCTCTCTCTTTTTTCCTAAGTTTGCAAGAGGTGGTATATACTCACCAGAGACAGACAGAGAGAAGTAGAGGGAGAAAGCACCCCCTAGTGAAACATGGTCACATTGCAATACGTTTTTTTCCATTTTTCCCTCCTTTTGGGATTTTGGATATGCACAATGCACACGTATGAGCTCGGTGTGTTTCGACTTACCAAGAAATCATAAAGGGGACTTCAAAAAGTTTGTGGAAAATGAGATTAAAGAATGAATTTATTTTGGTGCAAAAGAAGAAAAGAAATTCATGTTTTTTTCATAACATGCATTTTTCCACAAACTTTTTGAAGATGCTGTGTATTGTCTATCCAGTGTGGTAACTTCCTGTAGCAGATCATTTCTTTGTTTTCTAATTTTTATCTTTTTTAAAAAGTTTATACGTTTCTTTATGAGCAAGAGAGAGAAAGAGAGAGCGAGGCAGGCAGGCAGAGAGACACAGCACTCCTGCTAGGGTCTTGGTACTGATGCTGTGATCTTCCAGCCTTAGCTACACCGAGATCTTACAGGTGCCTAGTGTACTCAGGGAGGTCTCTGGACGTGAATTCCGAACCTTCCCATGTGGGACAGCCTTGCAGAGTTTCTCATTTTATAGTAATGCCACCATGTGGCCCCCTTTCAAAAAAATTTTTTTAGAGAGATTTTTGCTATAGGGCATATGCGCTTGCCAGAGAGACAGGGAAAGACAGAGAGACAAAAAGTGAGAAATCACCCTTCAGAGGGATGACCACACTACAATCCCCTCTCCTCCATTCTCCTCTTAGGATCCTGGGCATGCATGCATGTGCTCCCAGTGTGAGTTTCAGGCCATGGGGTCCAGGACTCCAACCACAGTTGACTATGTGGGAGTCCAGCATATGCCATCTGCTGGTCCCTTGACATATTTTTAATTGACAGATAATAATTGTACATATTTGTGAGATATGATGACTTTATATGAATAGGATGTACAATGATCAAATCAGGGTAATTAACATATATACCGTCTGAAACATTTATCATTACTTTGTATTGGGAACATTTAAAATGATCTCTTTTAGCTATTTTAAAATATGCAGTAAATTATTTGTAACTATAGCTAACCCTGCTGTGCTATGAACCATTAGATTCCTCTTAACGAATTATAATTGGGTTTCCATTAACCAGCATCTCCCTTTCTCTCTCCCCACCCCCACCTGCTCTTCCTGGCTGTTAATAACCACTATTCTATTCTCTATTTCTCTGCTGACAACTTTTTTAGTTTCCACATATGAGTGAGAACATTTGGGTTTTTCTCTTTGTGCCCGGTTTATTTCTTTAACATAATGCCCTTTAGGCTTATCAATGTTGCCTCTAATGACAGGATTTCATCTTTTTAATGGTGAATAGCTTCCATTATAAAAATATATACCACGTTTTTTTTTTTTTAAATTCCGTTTGTCTATTAGCAGATACTTTGGCTGATTTTGTGTCTTGGTTATTGGGAATCATACTGTGATAAACATGGCAAAGCAGATACTTCCACTCCATACTGATTTTTTTTCCTTTGGGATATGTGCCTCGTAGTGGGATTCTAGTAGATTACTAATAGAAATTTCAACTGTTTGTGATTCTCCCCTTCCTTATTTAACTACTTTGTAAATGAATATTTTGGATTCTATAGTTTTTATTATAGCTTTGACATTTTTATGTTTTAGGGACCTTTTAAGTTTATTTTATTCATGAGAAAGAGTGACATTAGCCTATGGGTGATGTTTGGTGGGCAGATAGGGTAGGGAGTTTCCTGTTGTTAATTAGGAAACTTGTAAATGAGATTACAAATAAATCACTAAATTATGACATTTACACATTAATATTTTTTATGTACATCCATTCCTTAGAAGTATACTTCGTTCCCGTGACTTGGAATTTTTTCCATGTACTTCTCTGCTGTTTTGGAATCACAGTACCTATCATTGTCCATTCGCTTTTGTGGACTACCTCTCCCAGCCCTACTGTTTGCCAAAAAGCCCAAAAGGCGTTGCACATACTGTACTATGTGGAAGTTGTTGTTTTTTTTTTTTTAAATTGAAGGTGAATCAGTTGTGTTTAGAGTTATAGTGTTCCTTCCTGTAATATGTAACCAGCAGAGTGTCTCAACAAGAAGGTAGTAATCTTAGAGGGATTGGTGCCTCTGCATTTAAGGATCAGACAGCTCCCTATTTTTTATTTTTTAATTTTTTTTTAGGTTTTTGCCATGGATCACAAGTGCTTGCTGGAGAGAGACAGAGACAGTGAAAGGCAAATGAGAAATCACCCCTCCGGGGAGGTGGCCTCTCCGCAATTCCTCCTTCTGGGATTGTGGGCTCATAGTTAATGATGTCTAACCTTCACTGAGTGCATACCATTGCCTACATTAGGGGTCGGCAGATTTTTCCGTAATAGCTTTTCAGGCCATATGATCTCTCCTGCTGTTCAGCTACTCACCTCTACTGTTATGGGGTGAAAGGAACCATAAACAATGCACAAGTGAGGGGGCATGACCGTGCTACACTAAAACTTCATTTACCGAAGCAGAAGGCCGGACTTGGCTCAGTGAATGGTGTCTGTCAACCCCTGGTTTAGTTCTTTTTCTAAGCATTTGTATGTGCATTCATCCAGTTAATCTTTACTGTAAGCATTTGAAGTCAATGCTATTATTATTCTCGGTTTATAGATGAATATATTATGGCTTAGAGAGAAGTTTATTAAAAGAAACTTGCCCAAAGTCACATAGCTACAAATTGGCAGGCCTATGATTCAGATACTATTTTGACTCATACTTTGAATCACTATACCATACTACTTTCATGTAGTTTTATCACATAGCATCTCCATTTATTTAACATTTAGCCAATAATATTGAGTACTCATTAAGTACCTAGCACTGTTTTAAGTACCAGAAATCAATCTGTGAACAGACAAAAACTTCTGCCCTCATGTGGCCTCTATACTGTCAGTGCAGAATCATTCTAGTATAAATCAGTATATATATTTAATAGAGAGAAAATGCAGGGAGTGGCAGGGGCTGGAGAAATTGTAGTTTTGTTTTTAAGAGAGATTTTTGCTATAGGGTATTTGCGCTTGCTAGAGAGACACAGAGACAGAAAGCAAGAAATCACCCCCATGGGATGTGACCATGCCACAGACCTTTCTCATTCCTCGCAGGATTTTGGGCACACATGCCTGGTGTGAGTTTTAAGCTGCTGGAACTTGAACCACAGTTGACTATGTGGGAGCATAGAGACATACATTACACTGTCTGCTGGTCTCGAGAAATTGTAGTTTTAAGTAGAGCGTTTGAGGGAAAGCTTCACTGAGAACAAAAACCTGAAGAAGCCGAGGGACGAGTTTTCAAGAGTTCTGGGAGCTTAGGGTCCCTCCATGCAGAGGGAGCAGTAGGGCAAAAGCTCTGAGGTGGGTCTGTGCTTGTTAGGGTTGAGAACTAATGAGCTGGTGCAGAGTAAGTGAAGGGCCAAATATATAAAGTCTTGTAAACCATTTTTAAAGATGTCAAGTTAAATTTGGAGTACAGTAAGGAACTGCTTTTAAAAAGGATTGAGTTACATTTTAACAGAATCACTCTGGGTCCTATGTTAAAAATAGAATAAAAGGGGCAAATACTGAAGCCCAGATCTTGGTTAGCAGATAATTGTAATACTCTGGAGCACTGATCAGGGTAGTGAAAAATTGTGTGAGTGTGCGTGCACGAATGCTCATATGTGTGTAAGATGTTAATAAGAGGGGGCCAGCAGATGGCACAGCGGTTACATCACTGGACTCCCACATGGCCAACCGCGGCTCAAGTCCCAGACTCAGTGGCATGAAAATCATGCCGGGCATGTGTGCGTGAGTGCCCAAGATCCCTAGAAGAGATGGAGGAGAAGGGATTACAGCCCCTGGAGGGGATTTCTTATTTTCCCTCTTTGTCTCTCTCTCCAGTAAGCGCATGCACTCTAAGGCAAAAACCTCTTTAAGAAAAAGATATTAATAAAAGGATAAATTGATAGATTTGGATAGAGTAGATGACAGACATAGTAACCATGCACTAAGGCTTTGGAGTAAACATCAAGGAGGCTCACAGTACCTATTAACTGAAAGGGCAGACTATGGAGGGACAGATTCAGGGCTGGAGAGATTAGGAGGGGGAGTAAGATAGGGAGTTCAGTTATGTGAGATGCTGTTAGACTTCTAAGTGGCAATAAGAAAACAGGGAGAGGTCAGGATTTCAGATCAGAGGTCTGGTTTGGGATTTTAAATTTAGAAGA